TTTGAAGTGAAAAATGTTTTAAATGTTAGTAAAAAGACACCAGAACGCAGACAATGGCATCTATTTTATTTAAAATTCTGTTGGGGAGGACCCCCAGACACCCCACCCAGACTCCCCACCGGATCTGAAAATATTGTCTGACATCAAACTGATCCGTGGCGCAATAAAGGTTGGAGACCACTGTCCTAAAGTGCAGGAGAATCATTTGAAAATAATAAATAAGATATATCCTGTAGCCATGTTTCTTGAAAGAAGATTTATATTTGATGTTGATTTGTGTGCCTTTTGTAAATCAGAAGATTAATCCCTCAAGCGTTTTTTTTCCATGTCAATGCAAAGTCTTTGGTCAGACATCAGAAACTGGATTAATCTCAAACTTAACATTCCTTCTTTTGATGCTGATGTCATTTTGTCACTGGCTCAAAATAACACATTACCATTAAATATCCAAAGAAATTTTGTTAAAAGACAAAGTTGTTACAATCTTAAGGGGATAGAAATATTTGTCAAACCAAAATTCAGAACTAGTCTGAAGGGAAGGTCTACCTCAATCCAAGGAGTTGGATTGTGGAATGTTCTAGAGAGTGATGTAAAAAATGTCAAGTCAATGTGTACATTTAAGAAAAAGATCAAATCTAGATTGTTAAAAAAGTATATATGAAGTAGCTTAGTGTGTGTTTTTTTTATTAGAATTAGAAAAATTAGAAAGTTATTCATTTTGTTCTGTTACTTGAAAATTAATATGTCTGAAATAATTGTTTGAAAAAAGGGGCAGATATAATAAGATTTTTTCTTCTTTCTGCTGCCTTTCATTTTAAACTTTTTTGTATCTTTTTATATATTGTTATGGAATTGTTTTGTACTTTTTTTTAAATGAATAAACTTCATACCATACCATTTTACTTATGTGGATAATTGAAGCTCAGCTTTCTCTGATGCCATAAATATAGTTGTACTTATAGCAAAGTACCACATTCAGAGAGTCAGAGATTTTTTATTGTCATTCGCACCTCATGTGGTACATGTGGTGGAGCGAAATTATGTACACAGGGTCGCAGTTACATCGAACAATAAAATGTAAAAGAAAAACAGTAATAACATCTAAGATATGAACTAAGAAAAACATCAACTAAATATACACTAAGCACTCATAGCATAAAAACATTACGTCGAACATCAGCACAAACATGAACATGAGTCTGTGAGCAGATGTGCACGCATGAACACATCAACATGAAACAGATCAGCAGCAACATGAAACAGATCAGCAGCAACATTGAAACAGATCAGCAGCAACATGAAACAGATCAGCAGCAACATGATATGGTTTTTCACAGTGATTATTCTGGTTAGAGATTCATGAGTCTAACGGCCTCAGGGTAGAAGCTGTTCCTCAGTCTAGTG